TAATTGACTCATGGCCCTGCACACCTGACACCAACCATGTCCTCTTCTCTCCCCTCGCTTCCCCCTACACCTCCATCGTCACTGGTAGACACTGTGAGTTTGGGGAATATTTGGTCCAAAAAAGTTGACTTCCTCTACAATAACTTCCATAGCATCTCACTATTACTTAGGCACTTCACTATTTAAAACACAATATGGTAAATAAACTTCTTTCTAAGGGTTTATTGTGCATAGAGCTGCATTTTGAAGGAAAATGTACAATCTCCATGTTGTTTCTCAATTCAGCCACATGGTGGCAGCATTGGCAAAGACATTAGCCAGAAACATGCAAGGTATTTAAAGAGCCAATAGATGGAGAATTCAATACCAAAGGACAGCAAGTTTTCGGCAGTGACATACAGCAATCAATGTTGCAGAACAACTTCCATGTCTCCAGCATCACAGATATTCACTGAATAAAAATCAGAAGATTTAGATTTAAGAGGCAGAACATCTGACCTGGGAGAGTCTGGCACCATGGATGATACCTTCAGGATCATGAAAGGTCTGTCTCTTTTGTTCTTACTCTCTCTGTCTGGAGTGGTGTGTGTCTCAATTCGCTATTCGTTGCCGGAAGAGAAGAAAAGTGGGTCTCTGGTGGCTAATGTGCTGAAGGATTTGAAGCTGGGACCAGGGGAGCTCTCTGCTCGCAGAGCCCAGCTGGTTTCCAAAAGCAAGAAGCAGTATTTCCAGCTGGATAACCGTTCTGGGAATCTCTTTATAAATGACAAGATAGACAGAGAAGCTTTGTGTGGCAAAATGGACTCTTGCTTAGTGTTGTTTGAAATTGTGCTCCAGAACCCTTTAAAGATCTACAATATGGAGACAGAGATAGACGATGTGAATGACAACACTCCTGCATTCTCTCAAAATGAATTCATGTTTGACATTTCTGAACATGTTCCTACAAATACGCGATTTCCCTTGGAATCTGCCCGAGATGCAGATTTGGGTGAAAACAGCATCCAGAACTACACACTCAGCCCCAATGCGTATTTCAGGCTGGATGTACAAAGTGATGAGTTTGGGAGCAAATATGTAGACCTTGTTCTGGAGAAACCACTGGACAGGGAGAAGGAGGCACATGTTGGGCTGACCCTCACAGCTGTTGATGGAGGGGTGCCCCAGAGAACAGGCACAGTTCTAATAAAGGTCAGTGTTCTGGACAGCAATGACAACTTCCCTCAGTTTACACAATCTGAATATAAAGTGAAGCTAAAGGAAAACAGTCCTCGTGGTACTCCAGTGTATAAAGTGGAAGCCAGAGATTTGGATTTTGGTTCAAACGCACAGATCTCCTATTCATTCCATCGGGTGCCTGATCAAATTCATCACTTGTTCAACTTGAATCAGAGCACTGGTGAAATCACCGTTTTGGGTCCAATTGACTATGAAGAAGAATCCAGCTATGACATGAACGTTAAAGCCACAGATGGAGGGGGTCTTTCAGGAGTCTGCAAGGTCTTGGTGCTTGTTGAGGATGAGAATGACAATGTCCCAGAAGTGGTGGTCGTATCACACACCAGCGCATTGCCAGAGGATTCTGCCTTAGATGTGCTAGTTGTGCTCTTCAGCGTCACAGACCGAGACTCTGGAGACAATGGCAGGACGTCTTGCTCCATTGAAGCAGGCCTCCCTTTTGGACTCAAGCCCTCAGACAATAACTATTACCAGCTCGTGACCCAGAAGCCCCTAGACTGGGAAAGAGACTCTGAGTACAACGTCACGATCACAGCCACAGACTGGGGCTCTCCCAGGCTCTCTTCCTTCACAATAATTAACGTCCAGATCTCTGACATCAATGACAACTCTCCGGTATTTGAGAAATCACTGTATCATATGCAGCTACGGGAAAACAATATCCCAGGACTGCTGATAGGATTGGTCCAAGCTAAGGACCTGGACATGGAGCAGAATGCCAAAGTGACCTACTCTCTTTTGCCTGGGAAGGTCAGCGATCAACCCGTGTCCTCTTACGTCTCCATCAACTCTGAAACTGGGAATCTGTACGCCATCCGATCAGTGGACTATGAGCAGGTGAAAGATTTCCAGGTGACCGTGAGGGCTGTGGACAGTGGTTCTCCTCCCCTGAGCTCTGAAGTTATGGTCCGAGTTCTGATCGTGGATGAAAATGATAATGCCCCATTCATCCTTTACCCTCTTCAGAACGGCACTTCCCCGTCCAATGACCTGGTTCCCAGGGGGGCGGAAGCTGGCTACCTGGTCACCAAGGTGGTGGCAGTGGACAGAGATTCCGGTCAGAATTCTTGGCTTACCTATGAGCTCCTGAAGGCCACAGAACCGGGTCTATTTTCAGTGGAAACTCATAATGGAGAAGTAAGGACTACTCGTGTGGTTACCAGTCAGGACGCTTTCAAGCAGAGACTCCTCATAGTGGTGAAAGACAATGGGGAAGCACCCCAGTCCAGCACGTCAAGTCTCAGTATCCTTCTTGTTGATGGGTTTTCAGACTCACATATGCAAATTGCGGATCTGCCACCTGAAGAAGAACAGAACGATTCCCTAACCTTGTATTTAATAATATCCTTATGTTTCATTTCTTTTCTCTTCTTGTTTTCCGTGTTAACGGTGATTGTCATTTGGATACACAAAAGAAGGAATTACCAGAAAGGAAGTCACGTTTCTTCTGGGAATTTCTACTGTGATGCTGACTTTGTTCCTAATTCTTCTGGTCCGAATGGCTCTGGGACTCTTTCTCGTCCAAATTACTATGAGGTCTTCTTAACGGCTGGGTATGGGACCAACGAATTTAAAGTTCTCAGCCCTCTGCTGCCTTCACTAGCTGTGGATCTTAAAGCTCCTATGGCTTCTAGCAATGACCCTCAGGTAAGGGAAAGCCAAAATATTTATGCGTAATGTATTTAAGGGAAACCTGAGTAAATAATGCGTTGAATTATGCTGCATAATTGTACAAATAATGACCCAATCCAAAGAAAAAACTGAACTCTGGAAGGGGCAGAAATACCACACCGATGTACAAGAACTCTGCAAGTTTCTGCACCGTGTCTATCTGGGGTATTGAACAGCCTAAATGTGGGGTGGGTAGGGAAATATCTGTTCCCTCACGCAGGTTGCTTGCCATGTGGACATGCCTCTTCCGTGCGTCATGTGGTCAGAGGTTAGCCCTCAATGAACGTTCTGGGTCAGTCATAAGGCATTATCTGCAGTTTTATAGTATGAAAAAGAATGTTTCCGTTGGTTATTGTTTAGAAAGCATTTTCTACTCTTCTCACATGCATGTATTCTCAATTTATGATTCTTTAAGTGGCATATTAAACTATTAAGATAAGATAGCCTCAGTCTACAAATAAATGTGCCTATATTATATTAATCAGTGTGTGTTATAGTGTGCATTTCCAGGCAGGTGCAAAAGAAAGCTCAAGGTCTTACAACATTTTCACATACAATAGCTGAACACATTAAATTGGGACTTTACCACTTGTGAACGTTAATTATGCAGAATAAAATATGGATGTATGCTTTAGCCCACAAATGTTTTACGACATTTGAAATATGGATGTGGGAAATCCCCACACCAATGGAAGCGTCCTTCATAGAAAAGCTTTCAGTTATCTCCTACCTTTGTATATGAACATAAAACCTGTATATTGGCTAAACTGTGGAAGTAGTAAAAGGACTGTTTGCTCGTTCAGAATTCAGTGACAAGGAAGTATTGGATGGCTTCTGAACAGGTTATTTACCCCAAGTCCAATGCTTTTGGGAAGTGTGGTTTTCCGTGCTTCCCCACAGCATCGTGGTGTATCCATGCACCTCTGGCGGTTTCCCTGGCTTTTCTCTGATCTTGTTCAAACCTGCTTTGCTCCAAAGTTTTGGGAAAGATCACAGTAAAACTTGGGTGGCTGCTGTGTGGGTAGGAAAACTTGGATTTTCTGCCCCACATAGCAGCCATTTTCTCTGAGTTTTGAGTTGTTGTTGTTGTTTTTTTAAAAAAATCAGTGCTAGAATATCATTATGGTGAAACAATGTTGTAACAACACATTACCTGAATTCTCAGCTGCTAACGGGCTCTCTGACTTCTCAGCTTCATGTGTAAAAAATAAGTCTCTAGTGCCTTCCTTTACAGAGATATAAGGGGAAAGGCATATCGTTATAACAGGAGCAAAAGCCCCAGTGTCTCAGGGGAGAGCACGTGGCCACTTCTAGGGGATTGCAGTAGGAAAACTTCACAGAAACCTGCCATGTGGATGGTCCACTACTGTTGAGCTTTTATCTGCAGCCACACCAGCAAGAGGAACACTACAAAACTCCATCCCTGAATGGAAGCCATCTTGCTTTTTGGAATCAATCTGCTCTTTCTCTGTTCCAGTGGGGGCTCCAGAAAGGAGTCCTGTTGCTTCTTAAGTGCATTGGGGTACAAACTTTTGCGGGCTGGGAGAATAACTAAATCTAACCGTAGACCTAAAAAACTAACCTTAAAGACATAACAAACTGGCTGGTTTCAAGCGCCACAAAACTCCTTTTTTTGTCTTGTTATTCATGGCCTTGAGTTGATGTTTTAAAAGAGGCACGACATAGGAAGTTATCAACGGTGTGGGTGGATTCTGGTTACTTGGTCATTCTGTGTTGTGCAGCCAAGCAAGGGAACGATAACGGAGATAACGGACAGCCGTTTGGTCACGGTGGTGGAAAGGGCCATGAAGTCACACCCGACTTATGGGCAAGAGGCTTTCAGAGGTGGATTCCCGTTGCCTGCCACTGTGCAGCAGCCTTGAATTTCCTTGGTGGTCTCCCATTCAAGTACTAACTAGGGGTAACCAGTGGTCATTTCCTGCGGGAGCGCACAGGAGCGGAGCTCCGGCAGTAAAGAGCCCAGGGGGCGGGCACATGCAACAAGCCCCACCCCCTGCTCCCAGCAGCCCTCAGTCAGAGCAAGAAGCAGCCAGGTAAGTTGCAGAGCCCCCCCCCTCCAAAACAGTCCAGTGGCACCTTTAAGACCAAGTTTTATTCAGGTACAAGCTCTCCCTCCTCTGCGAGGGCAGATCTGCACGTCCCCCCCCCCAATAGCTAGCGATCCAAAACAGTCCAATGGAGCCTGAGCTCCATTGTTGCCTTCTGATACACTTCCAGTGATGTCAGGGGGTGTGGCATATGCAAATAAGTTATGCTAATGAGTTATGCTAATGAGCTCCTGCACCTCTTTTTTTTACAAAATTACCCCTGTAACCCTGCTTAGCTTCTGAGATCTAACGAGATTGGACTAGCCTGGGCTATCCAGGTCAGGACAACAATATGCTGTAGGTGAATGCACGGCAGCTGTTCCCTGGCTTTTCTTTAATCAGTTTCATTTTGTTCATAATCACGTCCTCTGACCTCTTTTCCTCCTTTAATGAAAATAAGAGACTGGAATGGATAGTGCTACATTTATGTATCGTGTGGGTTTTTCTCTCCTCCGCTCTCTTCTATCACAATGTTTGGGTGAAAGAATGATAAAAAACCAAGGAAGAAATAGAAGGACTGCAATGAGAGAGGAGAGAAATAGATGTGAGGTTTGGCAAGGCCCGGAAGAAGTCTGAAGTTACGTTGAAGGGTAGTTATGGGTTCAGTGGTGGGGCTGAACTCATTGCAGTGACCCACAGCCTAGACCTGCATTGTAATACCAGCAGACTGAGATATTATCATGGTGGCCACCAGTGTTCCCTCTAAGCTGAATTACTGTGAGCTAGCTCACAGTTTTCTAGCCTCTGGCTCACACATTTTTGTCTTAGCTCAGGAAGGAGGGCTGAAGAGCAAACTAATTGGTGGCCACCATTTGACCTGAGCGGGGATTACTGAGGAGGGGAAAAGTAGAGAGGCAGAGACTTTGGAGATACACAGAGGAATATTGTAATTTTTATTATTCTTATGAAAATATAGCCACTTCGTGATTAAGCCAACTGGAGTGAAGAGTTGCTTCTAGACTAATGCTAGACACATAATATTTATATATAT